TAGCATGATGATCTGTCTTCTCTCCTAAGCCACTAGTGGTTTCTTCGTATATTAATGATCTCCCTGCTGCCATCGCTCAATATGACTGTTCATTGTTTAACATTATACTACTCCCTGAAGTTTGCATGAAACAATTAGAGATAGTAAGAAACCTTCTTAATTAAAATTTAGTTGAGACTAGTTTATGCAATCAGCAATTTTGTATGTACCCATGAATTTGAGATAAGAGTTATGAACCATGTAAGGTACAATTCTCAGAATCACATATGGAAGAATGCAATTTATACTCTCTTGTCTAGTTCTTCAGAAGGAAACTTTGAATGAGGCATCAATAATTGTATGCTATATAAGATTTACAAGGCTGCAGTAATTGCCAGTGTGGACATGTGGATATGAAACATAAAAGTTCACACATGTGGTAAAAACTGCATTTATTCATTTACAGAACACAGTAATCCATGCATAGTTCTTGAAATTGCAAAATGCTAGTTGTGGTTCAGATCTGAAAACCAGCAGAACAATCCTTTTATCCACAATCCTTGTCCCCCATTGAAGGTAATGGCCAGGCAGTTTGTAGTGTACTGAGGAAACAGGGAAATTACTCAGCATTTCCCATTGCATAGGCAGAGCTAGTCACTTGGGACGGAGGCTGATGTCTTCCTGAAGTCAACTGTTACAGTTTGAGACAAGCACACATTGATTTATTGTGGGGTTTGTGTACTCCCATTCCTGTTCCTCCTGCATAGTGCACCATGACTGAAAGTGGAAGTCTTCAATCTGCCTCCAGTTGGTCATAACATCTGAATGTAGGTGCCTTAACAAATTGAGGCTTGTTTTCTTCCACTGGTAACCAAGATTCCTAACCAGGATCCCATATAGTGGGAAAGAAAAAAAAGCCTCACTTTGTTAAGGTAAACCATTTGGACTTCACAAAAATGTGTTCTGTCTTCAACTGTGCTATGCCATGCAGAAACAGAAGAGAAGGCACAAGGCACATGCAAGCCTAACAAATAATCTCTGATTTGTGCATGATATCTGAATATGGCCTTTGGTGTAGTGGTTAAGTGTGCGGACTCTAATCTGGGAGAACCAAGTTTGATTCCCCACTCCTCCACGAACCTGGCTGGATGACCTTGGGCAAGCCATAGTTCTGGCACAGCTGTTCTTAAAAAAGAGCAGTTTCTATCAGAGCTCTCTCAGTTCCACCAACCTCACATGGTGTCTATTGTGGGGAGGGGAAGGGAAAGGAGATTGTAAGCCGCTCTCCTTTGGGTAGTGAAGGGTGGGGTAGAAATCCAATATCCTCCTCCTCCTCCTCCTCTTCTTCTGGACTCCTTTTTCTGTGGTGAAGCACTCTGAGTGAATCTTCATAGGAACTAATGGAAAGTCCACATTTGTGGGTCTGGATTAATCTTTTGGTTCATGACCACAGGATTATCTTAACTGTGATTTTTCAGAAGTTGCATTGATTTCATTTGCTTACTACTGATTTCAGGCATGCTTATGATTTTAACTCATACCATTTTAAAATGGAAGTGTATTGGCTTCTGTGGTCTGTAGAGACTTCAGATGGCTAAACTGTTGTTAATAACAGCTTTTGTCTGGTGAACTGTAATTTTAGTTGATAGGTAATGGCCTATCAGAGTTTGGGGGGGAAATCCATTTTTCCTACTTAGATGTGGCTATTTTAATATCCAATAGTCTGCAAGGGTTAAAATAATGTGCACTTCAATACATTATCATTCTGAAGGTCAGTTACTTAACCAAACTGCAGAAGAGCCAAATGAACCATTCTTTAGAATGTAAGTTGTAAAATTTATCCTTGGTAAAGACAACAAAGAACTGGAAACTAATAAATTGTTTAAAAATATTACGATGGTGGCAAAATGTGATTGAATAGCAGCTCTTCCTGCAAAAAAATATCTTCCTTTAACAAGAGCCTGCATGTTGTTTCTGTTCAGATGCAATCGCTTATGGAATAGCTTCAGTGTCACTTGAAGGCCTGGAACTATTTTACTTTTTTCCCTCTGTTGTCAGTTATCTTTGCTCTCTGGCTCAAAAATCAAAACTCTTTTGATGCCTACTCACTGAGTATATCTTTGCTTCCCCCCTCCCTCCCTCCCCCCAGCCTGTCTTTGCTTCCTTATCTGGTAGGGTTAGCTATTGCCATTGTCATGCAACCAGAGTTGCCAGCAAAAGGAATTTAAAAATCTCTGTCCTCCATGGCAGTTCAGAACTAAAAAAAAAAAGGCTGCTGCAGGGTTATCGTGTGAAAACCCTTTAACTTTGAAGTAAGGGAGAATAATAATGTCCAGAAGTATTCAACTACCATAAAGCTACCACTGAAATGGCCCTAACACAAATAACAGTGTTTGGAAGATGACACTGGGTTCCATAAAGTGGTTCCCACTCACCATCCTCTTGGCCTGAAATGTGATTCTAAGTTGTAATAAATGCTCGTTAATGTAACATGTTGCATAATTGTTCTTACAGTTCTAAGGACACAGTACTCCAGTACTGCATCAATTACCTGTGCTGTGTTTCAACTGTGATTTCAGCTCATACCTCTATTTTATACATCCTATGGGTATCTTCTCCTTTTATTCTAGGCATTTCTTTGAAGAGGTTTGCTGTGAAACAAAGACTGTTCTGATTTAGATAAGTCATAGGGTTGCCAACCTCCAGGTATCACCTGGAGACCTCCCACTATTGCAAGTAATCTCTGGACAACCAAGATCAGTTTCCCTGAAGAAAATGGCTGCTTTAGAGGGTTTCCCTCCCCTCTCCAAACCCAACCCTCCCCAGGCTCTACCCACAAAATCTCCAGGTATTTCCCAACCCAAAGCTGGCAATCCTAATAAGTCAGGGTTGGCTAACTTTAGATGAGGTGGTATGATCCAGTTAAGGCATTTGGGGACATATTTGAATTCAACTGAACTGGATTTCTACTTTGTTTTCCAATTCAGAATGTTTAGAGCTTTTATCACAGAAGGAACAGAGCAATGTGACTCTATCCACAGAGCATCATGGCTACTGACAACTTAAATTTAATACTGCAGGTTCCAGTTGTATATGACTGTAGACTCTTTCTACCTCTGCGACTTTTAATTGGCTACTAAAAACGGTGATGCTTTCAAACTAGGGTTACTGATCTGGTTGCCATATTTTTAATTAGGATTTTTAAAAAGAACATCAGTTGTCACTTGTCAAGCTGCTGAGACTGCTGGTTCTCTCTTGATAGTGATCTGGGCTGTGATTGACACATGTACCCAATTTGTGTGACTGTGTTGTTCTTCTTCTTGATGGACTTGTTTGTTTACTAGAGAGGCAGAGAAATCACCAATCCCCCCATCTTTGAGAGCATTCAGACTTTTTTTATATATAAAAAAGACTTGCTTAAAATCCATCATTTGAGAACTAGTATATATCTTTCATAATGTCTCTGCTAAGATACTGTCTCTACATCTTGTGCTAGCTGTTTGTTGTGCATTCAGAATGTTGAGAGGATCCAAAAAGGCTCGTGGGTGAGTAAAAAGCACTGGCCAGTTTTCCTTTCCAGTTGTCACTGAATGCCCTTCTGGAAGTTCTCTTGACCTTCATGCTGAACATTTAGAAAGGGTGGAGCAACAATGGGAAGGGGATTAGAGATGCTTTGTTGTACATGTGGAACTCTACATGCAGTCCCTTGGTTCCCTATTAGACATCTTTACTTTTTACACTTCTAGAATTGTTTTCCAATGCATATAATCTTTGGATCTTCAGCTTGAAAGTGTTACAGTGATGTGTTTTCATTGCCATAGTCCCCCAACAGTTTATAATGTACAGTGCATACTGGATATCCCATTCAGTCTAGTTCTCCTTTGCCTTACCCAACTGACAGATGAAAACAACATTTGAGAATAGAGATGAAAGAGATAAGAAAATGCTTTGTACTCTTAAAACACTGAGAAATTGTTTATCATTATAAATCATGTATTATTTATCACAGTAATAGCTATTGGGATGTTTTGCTTGAACTTCTGGTTTCTTGGCAAATTCCTGAAAATAGTAAAGCAGTGATCGTAGAGCTTAATGTAAGGATCCTTGCACTATTGGTGCACAGGGATTATATGTCCTCAGCACTGGGACTCAGCCAGGATAGCGATGCTTTCCTTCTTCTCCTGTGGTTGCATTTTACAGCTGTGTTTTTCAGTGCTAAGGGAAGTGGCCATGACCATTGCAAAGCTTATCTTTCATTATTTCTAAAGCAACTCATTAGTCTGATGGATACCAAGGGAGGCTTAGAAATTTATGTAAAAAAACTGATGGTATCTCAAGATATCAAAGGAATGACTGAATAAAATGTTTAGTGGCTAGAAAGTAGTAGAGAGCGGTGGCTCAAGTGGTTAAGATGCTGAACTGCAGGCTGTGGAAGGTCAGTAGTTCAGCAGTTTGAGACCTGGGTGCCGCATGACGGAGTGAGCTCCCATCTCTAGTTCCAGCTCCTGCCAACCTAGCAGTTCGAAAGCAAGAAATTGCAAGTAGATAAATAGGTACCACTTTGGTGGGAAGGTAACAGCGTTCCGTGCACCTTAGTGTTTAGTCATGCCGGCCACATGACCACGGAAATGTCTTCGGACAGCGCTGGCTCTTCGGCTTTGAAACGGAGATGAGCACCACAACCCTAGAGTCGGATTCGACTGGCTTTCGAGCAAGGGAACCTTTACCTTTACTAGAGAGTAGGGAAGATGTCCTTATAAGCTCTTACTCCTCCCTTTGTAGAAGAAGAGCAGGGGAAAAATCTGTGATCCACCACAAATTAAGACAAACTCCGTAAATGTGCATAATTGATAGGTTGCAGGATCTAGCTTTATTTTGCACTGAAATTGATGTAACTAGGCATTGCCTAAATTGGTAGTTAAAACAGGAACATCAGTGATATGTATTCTTATGGAGTTCCCATGTTGACTAATTAGAAATGGTTAGCATATGAAAAATTCAACTTACCTTTTTCTTTCTAGGTTGATACCATCCCTCCTGACTCTATAATTAACTATGTGGTACAGAATTCTAAAGGAAGAGCATCTGCTTTGACACATTCAGCAGCAGCCCATTCGAAATATACTGAAAACCTTCCAATGAGAACCTTCAACCAACCTCAGAAATATGTATTTCCAGTAAAGTCAGAAGAACAGTTTGATAGAAAGACTCTCTTGGCAGCATTAAATGCATACATCGCTCAAAAGGTGGCAGCTAACAATCTAGATGGAAGTTTTTCTCTTAGCAGGACTAAAGGAGCTTCCTCCTATAACAGTATGCTCAAACCTCCTCAAATGGACCGTCTTGATGGGACATTGCCAAAGGAGAAAACAGGAGATTTTGAGATGAGACCATCATTCCAACAAAGGCCTGGGTTTGCACTGGTAGTACCTGGTGCTGCTCAGAGCAATCTGAAGACTCCTCTAACCACAGTGGATGGTAAGGAATTGATTTACTTCAGTTCTTTATTAATCTCTCATCTGATGTCCTAGATCTAGGCCAGGCATTTTCAAACTGTGTTGTAGGGAATATTGTGATCTTGACAGCTTAACAGGTGATTTCTGAAGATCAGTAATAGCAAACACCCCCAAATGTCAGTTTGTCATCACGGTTCATCTTCCCTTTCAGTGCACAGTTGCACCAGAGGGACAGTGTGTGCTTTGAGGTACTCTTCCTTTTCAGTGCACAGTTACACAGGAGGGACAGTGTGTGATCTGGAGTACACTGTCAATCAGGCCC